TAAGATATAGAATTGGAGTGTCCGGCTGGTGAACTAACCTCCATCTTACAGTAGGTCACAAAAATGGGTGCGTGTACTTATGTAGGCGCGTGAGAAGTTATCCTTCTTTGGCATCGTTTAAAATTAGTTTTTAATTGCATGCAAATAATTAATTACAATAAATTAATAAAAAGTCTGGAAAAGGACACAGTCAATAAAGTTCAGTTTTAATTTGAAAAAATAAATAAATAATCAAAATATTCAATTAAAATCGCTACTGAATATAATTTATTAGAACATATTATTATGTGATTTGCACTTGTATGAAACTCAAACACGTATTCCGAATATACAAACTAGAAACATGTGGATAAATATTATAAATATGAATACCTATAACTGTTACTTTATTACAATAATAACATAAAAGTAACATTGAAAAATAAAGATGTGGTTTTTGGTTCTACTACACCAATGGTCAAGAGATGGCGCTATAGTCTCCTGAATCGCGCTTTGGTTCCGTTGTTCCAGATTAATAAATACTTTTGATAGGCCTTCACAATGCAGTCGTTAGCACCCACTAAATAGAGATTCTATTTCTATTTTGTTGGTAGATTTTTCTTAATGTGCGGTAAACACAAAAGTAACTTACTTTTGTGTTTACCGCACATTATTTTTCTTAATGTGCGGTAAACACAAAAGTAACAGCATGAAAAACTATGATAGTTTTCGTGAGCTCGCACTCGTACTAAGGTTACTGATTTTATTGTTTTCTTTTCAATACAAATAAACAGTGTTTAAATTCTATCATTAAAACTAATCTCCATCTTACAGAAGGTCACAATAAATTAACACTGCCTTTTGGTGGTGTTGTGTCTCAGTCGGTGAGTAAGGTTCCGGGGTTCCACGGGGCTGGGTATTGGATCAGTACCCTTAGTACGAGTTTTACAATTACGAAAATTATTTTCGTGAGCTCGCACTCGTACTTAAGGTACTGATTTTATTGTTTTCGTTTCAATATAAATAGACAGTGTTTAAATTCTATCATTAAATCATTTGCGTCTTCTTAAATTTTAAGTATATTTGGTTACTTTTCACCAAAATGGACAGAAACAAAATTTACAATTACGAAAACTATGATAGTTTAGATGATAGATATACGAAAACTATGATAGTTTTCGTGAGTTCAAACTCGTACTAAGGCTACTGGGTAGTGATAGTTTTGGTATGGTAAGTGTCTAATGGCTATTGTGGCCGCTTAAAATGAGGCGGGCCATAAGTATGATTGCTACTGTTTTATCATAAAAACGCTACAGAATTAAAAAAACAAACTAATAAGAATCATCGGATTTTATTGTATACAAAATCTATGCCCTTTCCAAGGACTCAAACTATATCTGTACAAAATTTTAAGTTTCAGTGTAAAGACGTAACAGACACACAAACAGGCATACACACTTTCGCATTTATAATATTATGTCGAATACGAAGATTATTTTAATAAATGATTGGACTTACTATGACGTCACAAATATTAATATTGTTCACAGGTATCAAAACGCGATTTTTTACGTATATCAACATATAACTGACCAATTTGTTTACGTAAACTTAATTAACATATTTCGTTGTCAGTAATATTGACGTGGTTTGTTTAAGCAATAGGCCTTACGAGCAACGTAAGGCTTTGACGTAACCTATCCAATTTATTTATTTTTTATTTAACACTCACACCAATTAGCCTAGCCCCAAAGTAAGCACTATTAAGGCTTGTGTTATGGGATACTAGGGTAACGGATAGAATACATATACTGTACATATATAAGTATATTTATATAGAATTACATATTAAACATCCATGACTGGAGTACAAATGCTCGTATTCATCACACAAACATCTGCCCCCACCGGGACTCGAACCCGGGACCTCTCGAGTCGGCGACACCATGAAACCCGTCGTACAAACCACTCGGACTCGGAGGTCGTCAAAAGCTAAATGTCATATTTTATAGATAAATACGATAATAATGGCTATAAGCAATTATATATATTTTATAAATAAGGGGCTTTACACCTCCCAACGTCCAAGCACCAATGACAAATCATAAATTACCTAAACTAGTTCTTCATAAGCTTTTCTGTAGGTAAGTAGTTATCCTATAAAACCAATAGCTTATCATACAAAGGAACAAGCAGCTGTCACTTTCTTATTTATAATAGTTGTATTGATATACTCATTAAATGAATATAATAAAAGAATCAAGGCGGCATCGTTATCCCATTCTGCCGCCATAAATGCGCTAATGAACAGCATCGACAGCATTGAAAAGTTATTCAAAACCAGCTTCTACACACGGACGGACTTGCCGCCTGCATGGACTTTACAATTTTGTTACTAGGGAACTTTGAACGAGATGAAAACTATCCTTATTGGTTTATTATATTTATTTTAAACATTTAACTGCTACATTTATAAATGTAAAGAACATTGTACTAGGAAAAATTCTACGCAGTCCAGGAAGCAGACGAGACTCGAACCTGCACCCTCCGCTATCCGGGCGGATACATTTCCATGTCTATACTTATTATTATAGAGCCTAAGTTCCTATAGTTCATTCAATTTTGAGTGCTTATGGAATGAAAATATCAACTCTATTGTATCAATGAAATGAGATGAATCTAGCAATAAGTGCTCCCTTAAGAGCAATTGCAGCTGCAGAAGGGTTGCTTAGTACTTTATATCTATTGCAGCTGCAAAAGGGTTGCTCAGTACTATATGCAGCGGACTCATGTTGCTTCTAACAGGTCGCGTCGGGTAACTCTAGCACTGAACAAAACGCGGAGGTGATAGCTGCGCATGGGTACGACTGGAGAGCCAATCGGCGCAACGCACGCTCGCCCGCGCACCTCTGTTTCCCCCCAAGACATCTTGATGTTTACTTCTGCGCAATAACGGTCAGCGCTAGAGTTTCGTGCCGCCACTTATACTGTACTTAGGTATATACGCTATCGAAATCGTTCTTAACCAACCGTTTCGCTTTTGTTGCGTAGTCCTTTTGATGAGTCACTGTGTACCTTTTGAGCCACTGTGGACCCCAGGGTTGGGTCACTGTGGACACCTGGGTGTGCACAGTGGCTCAAAAATCGTTTTTTTGTTTTCTATTATTTATTTTATTTTAAACCTATTTTATGGAATTGTGTTGATGCAGTGTTAAACTATAATAGTTAATGAATAATATCTATAAGTTTCATATCCATCCAGTAAGGATTTATATTTAATTTTGCTTTTCGAAAAACACGTGGGTCACTGTTGCCTCCTTAACCCTATGCTTTTCCGGTTTTCCAAACACTATCGAATAAAAATACAAATAAACCGTATTATAACTGTAACAATGCATTACACGCTTAAGTATTCTTTTGATAATGACTCATATACGAAACATATATACTCGTATGTTACCGGCCAAACCCGATTTGAGGACAAACTAGTTTTGCCTAGGCTAAACTAGTTCTTCCTATACGCGATAAGATTAACTAGTATAGCCTAGTCCAAACTATTTTTTCCTAAGCCCGATAGGATAAACCAGTTTAACCTAGGCCAAACTAGTTGATCCTGATATAAATACGCATACTCTAGGATAAACTAGTATGGCCTAGTCTAAACATTTTAGTATAATAATATCTAGAAAGTCAAAATTAATACTTAGATAAACTGAATAAAATACTCCGTAATTGGAAAAATAATAATTCAACTATTTGTTTTGTACATGAACCAAACCAATTGACCAAACATGAATAAATTCTCCGTCCATGATTTTTTACGTGTGCCTTAGTTTTTTGTTAGGTATATAAATTATCGTAATTAATATCAACTTACGATCCACTTAGTTCTTATTTGAAATAGGTTAATTATTAAAAAATACGAAAACAGTTTATAAGTATCTTTATAATAATAATAATAATTATTATTATTATCTACACCAAATATTACATTATGTCTGCTTTGTGCTGTGCATATGTGGATATATTATCCTGTTCATCATTAATATGCAAACCGCATAGCATAGGGTATGGTAATACAAACAAAATTTATTCGATTTGCTTGTGATATTAATATGATATATATAAAACTGGATTTACCTAGTTAAAAAACAAAAATATCAATAATAAAAACTTTAATACTTTTTGGACCAAGTAGGTAGATTGATTATTTTATGCAGAAAAATGCCTAACAGTGACAGGGGAAATAAATATTTAAATAAAAGGTAACCTATCTAATGTCGTATCTGACCGCCCGCTGTTTTACTAATTATGGCATGACATAAATAAAATCATTATTTTTAAATCTAAAATCAAAATTTCAGTAAAATTATATTTTTTGGGTAAAAGGGGTGTCAAACAAGCCTGTGGTTGGTTAAACGGGCGATCAAAAATCTTGAAACGCATCCCGGTTAACAGAAGACGCATGTTCGAGTCCTGTCTAAAAACCTTATGATATGCCTTTAAATGTTTGTATGTAAATAACCAAATAAATTATATCCCAAAAACTGAGAATGAAAAAAAGAAATCAATTTTTAGTGCTGCCTTACTTAAAGGCTGCCACTGCATGCAATTTCGTCTAGAAAAAAATCGACTCAGTAAGGGTCGATTTTTTTCTAGTCGAAATTTTCTTTAGTTATAAAAGCGTTCGATACCTTCTCGCGCGTCATCTAGTATGACCCCATCCCCTACCCGGTGGAGCTTTTGTAAATATTTGCTTTAAATAAATTTTTTTTCGGCTCTTATATTTAACTCTTCTTTTCTCTCTTTACTAGTACTGTTACCTCGAGTTAAAAGCAATTTAAAATTAATGTCATCTTAATTAATAAAAACTATTTTCTTAATAGAATTAATTGTTACAACAATTATGTATGTCATATTAGGTACGTATTTCTCTCTCTTAAGTTTATGAATAGTGTTTACCTACACTAGCCTTTTGAAAGGGAAAACGCCTTCTATGCCATGAAAAACTTAGTATTTACCGATGGTAATCTCCCAGCAATAGTGAAGTTAGCTCGTATCACTATAGAAGAAGCAGGTCCCGACGGCTGAAGTGTTATCAATCCGAACAGTTGGCCTCCACTATTCTGATAGTCGAAAATCCCTGGGCACGGAGACTGCGCATACTGGCCACTGACAAAGATCAAATCCAACACAATAACACTAAACAGAAGTTCCATTTTCCTTCCGAAATTGTTATTCGCACATCTTGTAACACGTGTGGCCATCATCAGGCCCGGCTGTCGACTGATGTGTGATGTAGCGCGCTTTAGTAAGTTTTATGTTGACAGACTGGAATTACGCGCGCCTTCCGCTCTCGGCTAAAACTACAAAATAGGCAGGACAGAAGGTTATTTACATACAAAATGCGCTTGAGCAACGCACACATAAAAACTGCTCACGGACTCGATATCTCGGAGCAGTCAGGACCACTGCGAGCGCGAGTTTCGCTTGTCACACGCATGTCTGAATTTTTGTTGTGCAAAAATTAAGCAACAAATAATAAGTTATTTTATTATACCTATTCAGTACTTAGAAGGTATAATTTTTATTTTTTGAGCATGTAAATGCTTTTCTAGTTATATTTTCTTTAGACTTAGACGGTAGTTTAAATTCAATATTAAACGGTGAATTGGCGTTTAATTGAATTTTTACTACTTATAACATTAAAATTTAAAATATTTTAGTTATTATTGGTTTATATTTCTATTGTTTCTGTTTAATTATAGACAATAAATGAAATATTCAAAATTCAATATCGTTTATTCAGTCTAGGCTGTTACAAGCACTTGTGAATGTCGAAAAGCTACGTAATCGGTTCGTAAATCTACGGCGGGAGACCTTGTACTGAGAAGAACCGGCAAGAATCTCAGCAAGGACTGTTTTTTTCTCCCTGTATTATATACAGAGTCGTCAATTTGAAAAATGACTTCAATATGAGATAACTCATGAAGACACTTTCCATTACAAATGTAAATGATAAAACAATTGTGACTATAAAATAAAAAATATAAAAAACAGATTTAAAAATAAAAAAGTTTAGGAATGCCGTGTCCTACGGTTTAGGCATAAAAGCAAATGTATCATTAAAGTTAAATACAACGATTAATAGTACCCAATGTAGCAAGAGCAGACTCATCTCCGCTGGCAGCACCCGTTCACGAGCATGACGCATGAACCAGCCATCGCTTCGCTCAACCATTTTTTAGGGAACGTAACGACCCGCCTAACACGACACCGCCGAAGAGATTTTAAAGAGAGCATGACTACTCATAACCACATATGGATAGCAAAATAGGGGGAAAAAAAATAAGTACCAGTGTACATTACTATAAAAAACTATAAACACAACTGTAGGACACATGCATGTGATTACCTAAACACTAGTGTCGACTCTGCCACTACTCTCCAAACCCAAAACCAAACCCAACATCAGTGCCCCCACCCTTCACTCTGTATAGAGAATGACAATGATACACCGCTGCAAAACCAAAGTTCAGGTCTAGAGAAACATGCCAGAATCCACACCACCATTAAATCTTTATCTCAGAAATAATAAATGTTCACCTAAATTTTGATTTTGATTGCTGTACCATACAGTATAAATACAATTACAAATAAAATTTAAATTAAATAATTAATTATCATTATAATAATAATAAAGTAGTATAGAGCACACTCATCTCCGCTGGCAGCACCCGTTCACGAGCATGACGCATGAACCAGCCATCGCTTCGCTCAACCATATTTTAGGGAACGCAACGACCCGCCTCACACGACTGACCCGCCTAACACGTCAATAACATAAGATACCTACGAGTGCCACTACCATGTTAGTTTTTTGTGCATAAACCAAAGTTGACAATTCTAGCGCGAACGCCGAGCCTTGTTACATATGGTGGAGTACATACATGAGATTACCTTCTGTACTCTCTATTTTGTGGCTCAAGCAGGCGAAGAAATATTTCGCATTGTCCCTCACTCTGGTAAAACCGCTTTATGGACTACTAACGCGTAAAGCCTACGATGGATGCCCTCGCATTTTTAGAATATACAAATAAAAAACCCTGTTTATCAATTAAACTACGGCTTTTGACTATACCGGAAAGCACGTGGGTATATTGGCGCTAGGGTTACCAACTTTTAGGAAAAAGATGAAAAAAAATGGGGTTAAATATGTACCTACTTTATTTTTAAAATGCATATATTTTTGCTCTTCCGTAACTAATAATTATTTTTTTTTATTTCTAAGAACGTTTTTACTGGCAAAAATCTGCTTTAAGCAAAACAAAGTAGTTTCGCCTACTATATATTTTTTTAGAAATACACTTTCAACAAGCACTTTCTCCCTTCCTGTACTACCAAAGTCGCACTCGTGCAGTCTCTTATTCTACCTATTCTCGACTACGCCGATTCTGACATCACTCAAAACCTTCTTATCAAATTGGATCGTTTGCTCAACAGCGGTATTCGCTTTGTTTTCGGGTTACGTAAATATGACCACATCTCTCCCTTTAGAAAACAACTTCAATAGTTGTCCATCTATGGCCGAAGAAACCTTAGATTACTTTGCATGCTCTTCAAGCTTTTATACGATCCATGTGCTCCAGAGTACCTGAAAACTAGATTTCAATTTCTTGGCACATCCAATCAACCAACGTGATCTTCGCTCGTGCAGAAATATCACACTACAAATTCTGGCTTTGGATCCAAATCTTTCACTATCACTGCCATACGCCTGTGGAATGCTCTACCACTAAGCATACGTAGTACTGACAATAAGTTTAAGTTCAAAAAACTTGTGCGTGAACACTACCTGACTACGTGATTTTTCCCTATAATTTGCATCGATATATATTATATTTATTGTATATATACATATATATGTGTGTGTGTGTGTGTATGTTTATGTATGGTTATATGAGTATTTTATATATGTGCATCAATTTGTATTTAAGTATTATTATTTTATTTTCATTTTATTAATTTTTTATCAACGTTTGCTTATGTCGGCAATAAAGTTTAAATAAATAATAGTATTTGATCCCCTGATATAGTAGGATACTATATTATATAGTAAAGTAGGCAACCCTAATTGGCGCCCAAATTATGTGTATAAATTAATAAATACAAAATGAACAAATTGACTCATAGTTTTTATTAGTCTATAGAGATAGATATAATAAGTTTGTGTTAAATTTGGGCATGTCGCGGGCCTGATAGAGCGTCGAAGGTGCAAAAGCCAAAACATTATATCATCTCCATCCTCTGGTTGAATTTACTAGAAGTCTCAGTTTAACCTATTAAATTTTGTCTAAAGTATTCTATTAGTAGCTCGATGGCGGAGTTAGTGGTCTACAAATTCTGCGATCTTGGAAGTTAAATTTTACTAATCCTACTAGTATATTATAAATGTGAAACATTTGTATGTTTGTTACTGAATTACGCAAAAACTACTAACAACTTTTCATGAAATTTGGTACGTGTAGTTTATGAATGGCATGCAGTGGCAGCCTTTAAGTAAGGCAGCACTAAGAATTGATTTCCTTTTTTTATTCTCAGTTTTTGGGATATAATTTATTTGGTTATTTACATACAAACATTTAAATAACAAAAGTTTGAAACTACTACTAATTCTCAGTTTGTATTGTTATTTGGTGTTTGTATAGTTGGCCGTCCTTAATTAATAAATAAAATAAAATGACCTAGATTCTTAGTATAGAATACTTTTTATCGCGGGTATGTTAGGTTCTTGTGGGATTCCTAAAATGCTAAAGCAAACGCGTACGAAGTCGCGGGCGGGAGATAGTTAGTAAAGTATAAAGTAAAGTTTGATTTGGTTGAACGCGCAAATCTACGGGTCAACTGGTTCTTAATGCAAAAATATTTTTGATTAGGATAATTTATTTTATTGACAACTAATAATAATAATAAAGACATCTAATAATCTAGTCTAATAGGCGTATAACATCCACACTACAACTAAAAAAGAAAACAACGTACCCGTGATGCTCCACATCAACGAAAATGTTATAATGACTGTTGAAAAATATTACTTCTGAGAAAATCCGTTGCCCGAGCCGCGTAAACAGTTAAAGTAATGCAAAACAAAAAGCATCTGTGACGGAATAATTCACCTTTAAAAATCTGAAAAAAATTCGCGATAATGTTTTTGCATAGACATAAATGAGGAGCTCGATGGCGCGGGTGGTTAGCGCGTTCGGTTGCGATCGTTGGAGTTAAGCAACTTTCGCAGTGGTCGGTCATTGGATGGGTGACCAAAAATCTTCTATCTCGAGTTCCTCCGTGCTTCGGAAAGCACGTGAAGCCGTTGGTCCCGGCTGCATCTGCAGTCGTTCGCACCCGCCAATCCGCACTGGGCCCACGTGGTGGGTCATGCAATCTCCCTATTCCATCCACAGAGAAGGCCTGTGCCCCGGCAGTGGGGCATTAATAGGCTGATGATGATGATAGACATAAATTATGCTATTTATGTCCATCACCTTTTTAGAGTACCGCGTGTGATACCATGGGGCACAGAGCCTAATAGAATAAGCTTTTAAGTATTTACACACATTTATATTCAGGTCGCGACTTTGTTGCTGTATGCTCAAATTACGTTAGACAGGAAACTATCAGATAAATTCTATTTCTGTACTGCAAACAAAAATAAAGAAAAGAAAGTAAGGTTAAAACAGATAATACTTATATTATGTTAGGTCGGTGGGTATGCTTCATGTGTCATGAATGAAAATGAAACGGGAAAGTTGTACTGTATAGGAATAATGATAAGGACTTCGTCGTCCTCTTACACGAAATGTTAAATGCCATTCTAAACTAAGCACTAGCTAGGTCAAACAAAAATCTTTAATAAATCACATTTCTTTGTGAGTTATTTATTTTTGAATAAATAAGAAATAGAAGAACTTTTATGGATCAATAATGAAATACTCACAGCATATCCCGGAAGCGGAAATTTAGTAACGGATACCGTTGTCAACTTTTAAGGCCTTTGGCCTATTTGAATTTAGTATCTACCACTAAGTAGTTTTTTAGTAATAATAGTAACTTAGTGCTAAGTAATTACTTAGTGGTGAGTTTAGCAAGGGCGGATCCAGCTTTGGCGCCAGGAGGGGGTCATATAGTCGTGGTCAAGTCACAGTGGGTACAGATTGTGAAGTGGGTACAGATGGACCCAGCCCAGGGGGGGGTCATGACCCCTCTGACCCCCCCTCTGGATC